CAAAGGAAAATATTTGAGGACATACTATTCCACCCCAGTTTGAACCTGAAAATACCTTCTCCACGTAGACCAGTGGTAATCGTACCGTTAATACCCCAGACGGAATGGGAAATTTTGACGCAGCCATTTTGGTGCAGACTGATTATTGGTGTCCGCTCTTGGTTCTGAATTCGGCCCTTTGAATCTGTACAACTGGGCAGTCGTCATTAGCATCAGTTGCGTGATTCGGCATGATATATCAGCGGACAACTTTTTGTGAGTGAAGTATGATACCGGTACCGAACCGGTGAATTTCTTATTACAGTTTCATTGTGACGACTGTGCGACGTCAGAATGCCTCAGGCTTCACTCTGTGATTAAGAGTTTCAATATATGTCTTTAGCACATGGTCATATGTATGAATGATTTGATTTCGTCTTTCCATATTACCCATCATTGGAACTTTTATGAGAGTATAATGCGAACCTATAATCAAATTATGAATAAAGGGTTTTCTTATTATCATAATGTTCAGATCATGGTGAATGAGCCAGGGCTCTGAGTCATCGCTCTCTCATTTAACTATGAGTCCGAGTTAATATAATTGCATGTAGTTATCTGTATCAGTTGCTAGATTTAACTCCACGCGTTATACGTCGTTCGAAAGTTTTTTGCGTGCAGATAATGAAACATTTGACATAGGCATCAGTGTCAAAGTTGGCGTTTTCATGTAACGGTTTCGCTCACAATGTTACGCAAGCTCATTACGTCAGCAGGAGTCACCGTTAGTATTAATAATCGCTACTTTGAATTTATGCAAATTCCACAAGTCTGTCTCTGTTTCCTTTGTGACTAATTTCATCATGTCACATTTCAACGAAAGAGTCCCTCTGAGCGTAATACGTCAGTTTTGTAGCATTGCCTATGGCTTTAAGCAGACATTTCTTCTTTGCTATTTTCACATACTTTTACTGTGCATCATTCATTGCATTGCATCAAGATATTCACCAGAAAGAGACGATAGCACCAATCATCGAATATCAACTGAATAAAACATTTTAAATCGAAACCAGCGATGAAATAAAAAAATTCAAAAATTACTTTTCTTCGTCATAGAAACAATTTTTATCATACAAAAATATTACGTTATTGCTCCAATATTGCAGTATTACATGATAGTCATTCGCAATAGAATCACGATGAAGATGATGAAGAACGTCATTCGCAATGTCATTTATTCTTTCCTGCGTCTCCCGATATTTTGTGAGCTTGATTGCTGGCTGACAACTAGTAGCTGGTCATTCGTAGTATATTTCTGGACTCTTCTGTATTTTACATAGCCCATCAATTAATTTCTATGCCGACGGGTACGACATTCCTGATTCGGTTTGAATTGGTCGATGCTGCTTCCGCACGGTTATTCGTATGGTCTTCACTGTGGAGCACCCTACATTGTACCGACCACATCTCTGATGGACACAACGCTGGACGCCTTGTATTTCGTCTTCGATTCAAGTGACCGTCGCAGTTCTCTTCGAACCACCCAGAAGTGGCTGCAGTTCGTTGGGAAGTTCTTCGTCCATCTGTAGTTTGCTTGACATAGTCCAGCGATGGGTAAAAACGCCAACGCCGCCATCGTCTTCGCTTTCAAAGCAGAATCAGTATCGGCTTTGTTAGCACCAAGTAAATGCAGTTGGGTCAAATGTTTCTTTATATTGTGCTTCAGACGGTAAAAGCAGCCATTACGTTGAATACGTGGGAAAACGTTCTTCATTGCGTGCATCTGTGCAGTTTCGAAATCGTAACCAATCGAATCCGGATGAAGTCTTGACATCACTCGTTTCATTATCGTAAGAAACCTCCAAAAGGGTATGAGGAACACGATGGACATCATCGAACCTTTCCATGAGTACTATAGAAATTTGCAAAAGCAGTGACAGTGCAGGTCGAAATGTCACATCTGAGAAGCACGTCCTCGACTGCCGCAAGATCTCGAGGGGCTTCTCTGCTGCCAAACATCAGTACTCAGTTAGGTCAAGATCCACTGTCGCCATTCAAGAACTGTTCGAAAGCACCCCCGCAGAACCAGTGCTTCTAAATTCAACGGAATTGGTGGAGCAGCGTTCAATTTCGTTCCTTCTTCTTATGACAATTTTCTTAATAGCATGAAGATTTTGAAGCGAACCCTGAATAATTGCTAGTGAAAGTCCAACTGTGTACTCGTCAGTGACTTGTACAGCCCCTTCCGTATTTTCATGGAAAGTCTTTTATTTCTTGCCATGTTTGGCTACCTCCACAAAAGTGGCCGATCTGTCACGATAACGATTGCACTTGCCTAACAATGATTCTTTTGTACACAGGATCGAAACTTCGTTGTTCCGTAGCTATTCCTCCTATCGCAGGTAGCGAAAGCCGAACAACGAAAACTTTGTTCGAAAATGGCGTTTCGACTACAGCATTGTCATCCCAGTGCTCTCTATGGCTCACGTGCCTCATATCCGTAGAAGAGGAGAAGTGTATCGTGCACTCAATGTTTGTAGAGTGAAATCGCAGTGACGGTACCTTATTGGTTGTATGGTTTCACGAGGATGATGAGAACTGAATCATTAAATCATAATTACTTGGAATTCGACCGTTTTCAGTATCTTCACAGAAAATTACCAATCGGTAAACAAAATAATTAAAGAAAACGAATGGACGATTCAAGAAGGTGTCTGCAGTTGGAGGAGATTTCACTTTTCAACTTATTGACCTAACGGAGTCACCATGATGTAACCATACAGTAACAGGGAATTTTTAAATTCGCCGTCTCGACAATCTACCGACGGATGTATGATTGTTAGTTCAGCCATCTCATACTTCAGCCCATCGGTCATTGCACAGATTCAACTCGTCACCGGGTGACTGCGTGTTGATTTATAATGACCTGGCGTCATTGGCATAGCATAGAAATTCAGCGTTTTGTAACAGTTACATGGTATGCTTGGAGAGAGCTCCTCATTGGCATGCAACTGATGAAATTAGTCATGAGGAAAACGAGTATATGCTTCTAAATTTTGTAAATTTACACTTGCGATTGTTAACGATGACGTGTGTCAATTTGATGACCTCGCCATAATTGTCACAATGAACAAAGATACCAACTTTGAAATTGAAACTTTTGACGAGAGTTTGTTTTCTGCTCAGAAACAGCTTTCGGGCGATATATGAGTCGAGGAGTTGTTGATTCAGGAAATTTGTACAGACTACCAGCTGCAGTAATATTAATTCCGACTCGTATATCATCAATATAGGTGCCCTTTGACCCTCATGTTCCAGAAGACGACGAGGACGACGACGGCAATAGCAACAACATCAATTCCGTCGCACGATCAAATAACAGCACGCTGACTTAACGACCTCGCGCAGCAACCACGATGTTGCCTTAAAATGAATATCATTGATATTCATCATTTGACAACAGTTTCGCATTTTACTGGCATAAGAAATCCATTGGTAAATAATATGAATGGCATGATAAAATGACTGATATAAAAGATCACCTGACAAAGACATAATTTCAAACTCCAGATCGCAGACTGTGCTCTGATGCATACTGACATCGTGCAGTCGTCACAATGCAATTGTAATAAGAAATTTATCGGTTTGGCAGTGCCAAAATAAGCTACCAATCAGTACGCAACGTTATGGGCTGAATGACGGATGCAGCTTACCACTGCCCAATTATACAGATTTGATGAGCCAACTGTATGATTCAATGCGTCATAGGTGGTACCTCAAGATCTTAACGCAGGTAGAGGTGCCTTGATGAGGTGGGGTTTGAAATCTACTATGGGAATGGCAGGAAATTGGGCAATGTTTTGTACAAAAAGTACACTAACCTGTAAGAGGCGTCAAATGTTTACAGAGTTCAGTGTGGATACTGCGGTAAGCTCTGTAGAGACCTACCGGAAGTTGAATGTCCGGATCAAACAGCATCTATGTGCGGTCAGTTTCGGACAAGCTGACACATCCGGTATTTCTCAGCACATCGTCTCTGAAGAACACTGTTTCAGTCAGGACACTGTGTCCATCATTGACAAAGACCGTTCTACAGGAATCCTTGCATATACGGGCTAAGAAACACGGCATGTGGAACAATTCATTTCTCCCGTCATTATTACTGAAAGCTGGGGTACGGTCATGAATTTGATACGCAGCATTGGGTCAGCATAACAAAGACCCGATTTTATTTCCCCTATGAACTTTACATTGCGTTCGTTGGTTTACATTCTGATGAAGCTCTTTAACAATTGATACGTTCATAAGTATCGGTCTATTATGAAACATGGCAATGTTCGCTTGCTGGGTATAAGTGCCTTCATGCAGCCATTTGTGCTGAGCTCAGCCCTGATGATGCTACGGTTAATCTATTAAAACGCCTTGGCAATAAAAGTTTTATCATCTGCTGTACGCGATGCCCTGAACGATGAATCGTTTAACAACCTGTCGATATAACTACAGGCCCGGAATCAAAAACCTGATATCTCATTTATTTATTAATATAAAAATTTACTTGTGCGTATCGTACATCTCTAAGAAACGTTAGAGCCAAGTCACTTTAACACACGTCGTTTTCAAACAATTTCAATAATCTCTTCAACCGGTCCGCCCATTCCGTAGCCTCCCATACCTCTGCCATAACCTCCTCGTCCGTAGCCTCCTCTTCCGTAGCCGCCCATTCCTAAGCGATAAGTTTTGAGTATGCTAATTAGTAATAGGTGTACTCACCGCCTCGCATAGGCTCTTCGATTATCACCTCCTCCATTGGTCTACCAAATCCGCCTGTAAAATGACCAATTTTAGAATCATCTTCAATATTTACACGTACACGTTACCCATTTCAATGATTTCCTCTACCTGGCGGCGGTTTCTTTGCAATTTCTGACTGACTACTGAAATGATGCCTGCAGTGAAAATACAGATGCAATAACATATTTGCTGTTTCGTACCGTTTTCTTTTGAGCCCGCGATGCAGAAGACCAAGACCACGGCAACAATGGCAAGAACCGGCACTCGACTCATGCTTGATGTTCGTTCGGTTTCTGAGTTATGACCGCTGTGTAGGGAATTATATGTTATGGGTACAAGAAACTGGTTTCAAGGCAAAAAACCTCAACACAGAATTTTAGTATGACAAGAACTAATCGTACAAAACGTTTCCGACTAGATCACAAGACACAGCCGTAGTTTGTTAGAAAGAAAGCGCAAAACCTGCAAGGCCAGTTGCATTTTCGACACCAACGATAAATTTTACCTTCGATTTAAAAGGTTAGCTCAACCTTACGCGACAATTCCGCAAGAGCTCCTCCTCTCCTCAAGTTCCATGTGGCAAATTAGGTGTCATTTTTACATCGATCTTCCAGTGCATATCAATACGTGGAATGTCTGGATCTTCTGTGCGTTTAATCAGTTCAGTGACTTCCTTTGTCCAAAGGAAGACGACAGTATGAAGGCACTGCATTTCATTTTCTTGAAGGATTAGCTAGGGGTCTCAGCTCAGTTCCTGAAGTTCCTTGTCTTTCCGTTTAGACTGATTTGCTTAATCGGATAAGGAGCATTGCCAGCCTAAGGCTACTGCCGTCATACTAATTGACTACTTCAAATTTTCAAGAAACGTCCTTATGATTATTTCATCTGTGATGGAAAAGGAGCGCCGCCGTTTCTTGCATTACCATGGAGTCCTTTACTTTGGCTGATATTAACTTATTGCCAAGTGGATTCATAGGCTTTAAACTGGGTGCAGTTTTATTCACATTCTATCATAATTTATATTGGATTCTGGTGAGGATACAATCACTTTAATTTGAGGTTTCTGTTTGTCAGAAACTAACTCACTCGAACACACATTCACACTGAGGCTTTGTGCCCAACCCGCTTTTTTCAGAAGTACCGTGAACAACATGCATTTATGCCCGCAGGGACATGCAGAACCCATTCCGCCCTAGATGCTGAAACTCGACATTATTACCGCGCATTCTTGAAGAACGAGTATTCAAGTGGTATACTAGGCAATGAACTCTCGCGTCTCAGCTATGACTTGGTGAATCCTGTCAGGGCAGATCTATGGAAATTTTGTCCTGCATACCTCAAGTATCTCAGTCAGAGAATAACTTGGCAGCATGGGGTTTTGGGTCTACTGCAGGGCAGCGTGAGGTTGGCAATGCCCTTACTCAAGGCATATGACCGAATCAACCCGGAGGAGGCGTTAAATGTGGTGTACAACGTTGAGTGCCGAAACTGCGATAAGACGTTTGTCGAGAACACGTACCAGAAATTGAATATTCGAGTAGTCAGCAACTACTGGAAGTCCGTTAGACTACCTACTATGATAGTTGGGCAACACGTCATTTCTGAACGACACCTGTTCAGTCATGCTAATCTGTATGTAATCGACAAGGGCCAATCAAGACTTGGTCCTTTAATGAAAGAGTCACACATTTTGGCAATAAACACACCTCCTCCGTGGTGAAAATTGAAAACAGGGGTGTTACCCG